GATTACGGGGGGGTTTTCTTTTGGTGGGGGATGGGGGGGGCCCCCCCGGGGGAAGGGGGGTCGGGGAACCACAAAACAATTTGGGGGCCAAGTGTTTTTTGAAAGAGGGACCCCCCCCGTTTTAAAAGGGAAAAATCCAGGGGGGTCCCCTAAAAAGGAGAACCGGGGGCCCCTTCCCGGGGGGTCCCCCCCCCCCAAAAAAGGAAGGGGTTTCCCCCGGCCAACCCAGCCCCAAGGGTTGGCGCTTCCCCCTTATTACAGGTGTTCCCCACCCCCCCCCCCCCCCCCCCCGCTGTGCCCGCGCCGATAGTTGTTATCTTCCTTCCTCCGTGAAATCCTACCCCCATAGCGAAACACCTCTCACCGTCGGACCCTGCTTGGTCGGCCTCCGGCTGCTTGTCTCCCTCGCCCTCGGCGCCCTCGGCGCCCTCGCTCTGGGCGGGACTCATGGCACGAAGCTCGGTCTCCGCTTGCTTCCACCTGGCCTGGTTGATCTTGAGGTCCAGGGTGCTGTTGTAGGGGTTATACTCGAGGAGCGTTGACAGGAGCTGCGTGGGGGTGCCGGGCGGATAAAAGCAGCAGCGGTAGCGGCAGCGCATCGGGTGGCAACGACGCAGGCGAGAGATCGATCGAGCGGTCGCAAGCGTGAACGAATAGAGGGGCGACGTCGAAAACACGCGATCACCGAAGTTGTGACCGTAGAACCCGGGAGATCCAAACAACCCGGCTTTGTTCCAACGGCCGTCATCGAAACCATCGGAAACAAGCGCACAGTGCTTGGGTGTTGCACAATATAATATAAATAACCAGACGGTCGGGAGCAGAGAACCCTCCCGGCGCCCATCTCGAAACACTCAGCCGGAGACAAACACAAGACACAGCTACGGCAGAGCGAAAAGAGCGAAAAACACTCTACAACTACGGCAACAAGACAAAACTTCCAGACAGGACAACGCCCACAAAGACGGCTGTAGCTCAAAACACGTGCCTTCTTTTTAACAGGAAGACAACCGTGGTCAAACCCACGGCCCATCCATTCCCCACCCCCGCTTCCAGCAGTACTGTACCTTGACGGCTTCCTTTCGGACCAACGAGCTCTGGTCGCGCAGGCGATCCCTCCCGAGACGAGCCGCGATGAGGAACCGCTTGCGAGGGAGAGCCCCGCGCTCAGCGATCCTCCCCCAGGATCGAAGCACCGCAACCCTTCAACAGCCAAGACGGAAGGGAGAAGAAGAAGAACAGAGCGACAAAACAGGAGTCAACACACAACAAGAACACAAAAAAAAACGCTACATGTAGCACAAGGAATCGACTCACACAAACAGAAAAGACACGCTATTTAGCAAAAGCAATCAACGTCATCCACGAATATGTCGACATGGGGGGGGGGGGGTGGTTGCTTCTCGACTTGGTGTAGATGGCAGGACAAAGCCGCTTCTCTATGGTTGCCCGTACGTAGCTGCCGAGAGCAACGTGTTTGCTGTGGATTGAGTAGCTGGGAGTATTCCGGGTGCAACGCTTTGGCATACAGTTTATCACTGCCTACGTCAGATCCCACACCGACCCCGTATGGACGTACGGCTCAACAAACACCAACAACAACCCCAGCTTGGTCTCCGAGCACAGCGAAATGAGGATTTACGTCAAGCTAGCTCACCGCACGTAGGGCGAAACGTCGAGAGCGCGCTCGACCAGCTGGTCGAGGAGGGCATCCCGGTTGCGGTCTTTCATGCGGACACGCCGAGGGTCTGCCTGCACCTGCTCTCGTACAGCCGCGAGAAGAACAAAACATCAAGAAAAACGTTAAAAAACACAACAAAACAAAGGAAAGTACACCCGCGTTGACGCAAAAGGGTTCGAGACTATTCACCATCCGCTCTCTGTGCTCGTGCTAATGGTGTCGCAGACGGGCATGAAACAACAACATTGCCAGCTAGCAGAGTGTCTGCTGGGCACAAACCACGGACGTCACGGGGGGGCTAATTGGTGCAGGGGACAGATGGGGGAGGGGGCGGGCGAACACCGAAATTAGCAGTATTGATTCTCCTCCTGTGTCGTCATCCTCGCCAAGTCCAATCGCGGGAAAAGTGGGAACAACTCTCCTGTGCATCTTACCACGCGCTGACCACGAAATGGACGCAGAACATTCGTTCCAATATCAGAAGCCCCGTGGTTGAACGCAGAGATATCTACTTGAAGAAATGACAAAACAAAAAATGACCCCTCCCCCATTCCCGAGCGTGCAGATACGGAGACCCAAGACAAAGCATGAAGCCGACGCTTGCATGTAAGCCGGTCGGCCCGAGAGACGAGTCAAGCAGGAAGCCTCCGCATCCCACATAAACCAGGCACTACACAACCAAACGCGCCCGATGTAGCTACCAACGCAGGAAAGACAGAAACGCATCATCGCACAGGCGCCCGCGTCAGTTGGACAAGTACCGATCCGTGCAGGGTGTTGAACAGAGACCGGAACAATTCTTAACGCGAAAACAACAGCATCACTCTCACCTGGCTCTCATCCTCTCCCCCGTTGCCGCCGCCACCGGCCGCCGCGGCGCCCTCGGCCGCCGCCCCTCCGTCCGCGCCACCCTCCGACGCCGCCTTATCCTCGTGGGCGGCGGTAACTACCTCGGCGAGGCTTAAGACAACCGCCTGGCGAATCTGGTAAGGCCGGCTGCTGAGGTGAGGGAGCAGCACGCTCGCGTGGGCGTGCACGGTGCCCGGCAGGACCTCCACCAGCTTGTGGAGGAACTCGGAGACGTTGATCACCGGAGCCGCGGCGGCCGTGTTTTTGCTGTAATCGGCATTGTTTTTGGGGTGGTTTCCGGTCGAAATAAGAGCAATGTAACGTGGTGTCCGGTCGAGACGGAGCAATATATGTAGCTTTTGGTCAAAATAAGAGCAGTGTACGTGGTTTCCGGTCGAGACATGAGCAATGGACGCCGGGAAGGTGCGCCAAAGCGATGGCATGGACTGTCTGAGGGTCGAGAGGTGGCGGGAAATCGCCAAAGACAGAGACTTGTTTCCGTCTTTGTCCACGTTGTTTTCGTTCTTCATCCAACAGCAGTTTTCGCGCGTCCGACCGGAGCATCTCTCCAACACTAAACCCGTGCTCCCATCGCATCCCGTGGCAAATAATAAAGAAACAGCAGCAGGATAAAATCAAACCATACACTTTGTGCGTCTATTGTTTTACTGTATTCCATGCCGACATCCTTGCCAAAAAGGAACGAAATGACGAGGTAGTTAGACCACCCACGCAAAGGATGATGACCAGGTTCCGCTTCATCCTTGTGGAATTCAGCCGGTGAAAACCCGGCAAGCACATCGCTCCGTCCCGGCATACGTTCTACCGACTACTACGTACGGCATGCACTCCTACACCCCACACCTGTTGATGTCGGGCATCTCCATGCGCCCAACCTCCCGCGCTAGCTCCGCCCCTAGTCGCGAGTCGCCGTGCCTCTCCACGAGGCGCCAGCACAGCCTGGCCACGAACTCGGCGAGGTGCTTGCACTCCCTCACCAGCAGGAACACCGCCGCGGTCACCTCCGTCTCCATGCCCTGCGCCAGGTGGAACGGCTTCGCGATGAGCTGCGACGCGAGCTCCGCCTGCCGGGAGCCGCCCCTGGACGTCTCCGGCAGCTCCAGCATCTTGCAGGAGAGGCGGAGGAACAGGCTCATGAAGGAGCGGTCCGGGATGCCCTGCCGCCACAGGCGGGACGAGTCCACCGTCAGCGCGAGCCGCATGCTCTCCAGCACGGCCTGCCGCGCGTTCTCCCACTTGAACGCGCCGCTGTCGGGCGAAGATTTCCTGCTCCCTCCGCCGCCGCCGCCGCGGCTGCCTTTTCCCTTGGCGGGCTGTTTGGTCAGGCCCGCCGTCTTTCGGTTCAGCCGGCGGGCGGATGTAGAACGGATGGAGTTGGTGAGTGATGGTTAAGCATGCGCATGAGTCGCCCCGCTCCACGTGGCCAAGTAAATTAGCTTGGTACTTACGTACATTGGGCACAACGAATACCGCAGTATACGACACAAGAACGCACACTCCGGTCGTACTCTTAGGGTTCCCAAGAAATGTTATTGGGGGTGGTATTCAACACGTCGAGGCATATCCCTACTGCTTGATCTGAGAGTAGTTCGTGTCTTGGGCATGTTGGATAAGGACAAAGGCTGCACCCCTCACTGGAAGGATACTTTTCGATCTCTCTCGCGCTACCTTACCTACCTACACCTGCCGCGCTATAGGTAGCCAGCCAACCAACAACAGAGGCGGGGATGCCTGCATTTCCCCACTCTCCCGCCGCACATGCATACCTGCTTGGCGCTCGAGTAGCACTCTTCCGACGGGAAGGCCGCGGAGTACAGCAGGTACACAGACATCTTGAAAGCGTTTCGCAGCGGCAGTTCGGCTTGTCCGTGCTGCTGCTGCTGCTGCTGCTGCTGGCGGCTGCCCTCGCCCCCGTCTCCCTCAATAGATCCCCACCCGCGCCCGCCGTTCCTCCCGTTACCCCTGCGGCCTCTCTTTTCCAACGCGGACACGGTTCTCTCCACCGTGTCGTGAAGGACACTCAAAACTCTCCCCTTGATCTCGCTGCGCAGGTGCTTGAAGTCCCTGTGTACGTGTCGCGGGTTTATGTGGCATGATTGTCGGGTTTTTCATGATGTTCGGATAGACTTGCAAATCCAGTATCCACGACTTCGCTTGATCAGTGCTTGTTGCTTGTTGGAGGCGTTTTGGTGCTCACTGATCGGGTCGGGATCGGTAAACTTCGATGGTTGGCTGATGCTCTACATATAGCGTGCACTGCTGTTTGAAGATGGGGGTGAGAACGACGCCAGAGCAGATGCTGCTGCTGAAGTACTTGCAGACCTCCCGCCAGTAGTAAACAGGTGGCGAAATTTGTGTTGGACAAGCTGCTGAAGATGGACCGCATTTCAAGCAACTGAACAAGGAGTTACTGGTCTACATAGGCCAGGAAGAAGGGCATGGAGGCTGCTGTACGAAGGGGCTTATTACCTGTCCTCATCACCGCAGCAGTACACAACGCAAGCAAGGTGCTACATACAGCAGTCACGCAGTTGTTGCCCAAACACCAAGATGCTAAAATGGTGACTTCCATATCTACTACGGACAGCTCCGCCGACGGGATGGCAAGAGACACGCAAAGCACAGGCACTGACCGGACTAGCGAAAACAAGTCGTCGAAGTTCTCCTGCTCCGACAGTGCGTCGGCGTCGCCTTCGGTGAGCCTCGCGCGCAAGCTATCCAAGAGGTCGTTCAGCCGGTCCGGAGTCTCGTCTGCCAAGCTTGGGAGGTCCGGCGAGGCGCAGAACCGACCCGCTTTCTCGACCTGCAAGGACGACAGGTTGCCCAGGTCCTCAGGCATTTGAAAGTCCTCCATGGTGGAGGGTGCTGTTGGCGTCGACGAGCAGCACACTCGCAGCTCGCTCGCACGCTCTCGCCGCGTGCACTAAAATGTCAAACGGCCGAAAATGAGGGGGGCGGACACCTGAGAATAGTGGGTGCCCCATGGGGAGATTGATGCTGCGGGCAAACACACCAGCTGAGCCCCTTCTCTGTTCTTTCTTCCTCCAGTCTTTCTTCGCAAGTTTTGTTTCTGTGTACTTGCGAGTTCGTCAACTAACACACCGTCGCCGGAGCACAAGACTAGCTAGTGAACCTGTGTACGCAGCAGGCTGGCCACAAGGGAAGACAAGCAATCAACCAGCTTGTGGTTTCCTTTGCCCTGCGGTTGTGCGGGGGGCGCACCTCTCCCCCTCTGCTACTGGTGTCTGTCTCCCGGTGGCGAGGAAAGAGTTTTCGCAAAAGGAAGGTTTCAGGCAGCAGCAGGAGAGAGAGGCGGCGGGTGCCTTGCGTGAAACCAGCGGGCAGAGAAAGCGACGACGACGACGATGTTGGCGGGACGCAATGGTGCCGATGTCGACGAGTTCGACAACCAGCTCAATGATCCCGGGCAGTACGACAACCCTCAGGACCCGGCGAGCCTCTCGGTGGTGGAGCACCTCCGCGCGCTGTCGATCCGCGGCAAGTTGACCCTCCTGTACGTCGCCGGGGTGATCGTGTTCGTGCTGTGGGCGCTCGACTGGGTAAGTCAAGGCGTGGCGCGCTCTACAAGCTCTCTAGACTGCTGTCTTGTTGTTTTGGGCAGGAGAACCGGAGACATTGGCCCCGGTTGTTGTTGTTGGACACGCAGGCTCACTTATTTCCTTTCAGCACAAAATCCATGTATGAATGAATGATGAAGGAAAAATCGCTTTGGGCACCCACAATGTGCAGCAGCAGGAAGCACCTTTTTCCCTCTCGATGCGGACTGTTTCCTGCGGTACAGAGGCCAAACAAATGCATGTTGCACACACGCCGTGCAGACATTGGGCGTTTAGCATGTGCCGTGTCCTCAGCGCATGGGCGACCGGCATTGTTCCAGATGTGTACGTTGTTATACTGCTGGAATCGCCATGTTTGGCCTGTGAGAGCGGAGAGTTATTTACGAAGTCACGTAGCGTCCCATGTGGGCACACACATGTTCGGCACCGCTCGATTTGCACGCGTACCCCGAGTGCTGTTCCTGCTCCCCCGAGTGGTGACGCCTGGCTTGATTGCCGAGGTTTTGAGGCTGTAGGACGGTGTCCAAGCGTCTAAGAGGCACGTACAGGGGCCGGCTGCATGCCTCTGTCAGTTTGTGTACATAGAAGAGGACAGCAGGCAACGCGAACTACACATTAGCTCCTGTACACGCGTACTCCAAACCGTTTGTGCAAGTCTAGCAACCGCTGTACCCGGCAGCCTCACGGACAACAACACCGCCAAAACAAACGCCCCGTTTCCCGCTCCCCGGCCGGTGCTCACGGCCGCCACCTCTCCCGGTCTCCCCTCTCCGACAATTTCGGCAAACACACCCAGGTGATCGCGTTTGCGTGCATGGCGTCGTTCCTCGTGTCGGCCGCGCCCTTGTTCGTCTGGTGGAGCCGGATCCGCTTCAGCTGCCCGCTCGACCTGGTGGTGAGGAGCTTCGGCCTGGGCATCTTCGCCATGGTCTGGGTCGTGTACATGCTCTTCCGCCTGTGCAGCACCGGGCTGATGGGGAGGCTCTTGTACATGATGTTCGGGAGGCTCGTCGGCGTTGTGGTGAGGCTCTCTTCTCTCTCTAAGGAACCTTGAAGGTTTCATTGTAGTAGTCACGTACGCGCCGCTCTTGTCTTGTGGTGCCCGTTTTGGTTTTCAAGGGTGTGTGTCTCGTTTTGTCGACCAGGCAGGCAAGCGATGAGAGTGTCAGCACTTGACGCTCTCACTGGTACGTTGCCAGCTACACGTGCGCTTCTCTTGTTGGTTGTAAAATTGAAATGTTTACCTCCGAATGACCGTATTTATTTGAGCCACCATATATACCGGACCCCGTCGTCGAGATTCCCTCTACACGTACATGTAGCAGGGTTATCTATTTTCGAGGTCGTCTGGTTTTATGGTACGCCATCGCCTTTGTCGTTCCATCCTTGTCGCCCGTGGAAGGAAAAAGCTCGCAGCTCATAGGCACCGTAAGCCTCTTGCAACGCCGTTGAGGCGACGGCAGTATCTCGGAGGGAGAGGGCGGTGACAGCAGTAGTAGTTGAGGGTCGGGGACGGTTTCGAACAAGCCTCATGGGGTTTCAGCATGTGGCGGAGGCGTTTCCCTCGAGGAACGGGGCTGGGTCCCAATAGTTCGATGCCGAAGAAAAAAAACAACGACGACGACGACGACAAGTTTGATGTGACCTGTTCCGTGTCCATGTCGCTTTTGCAAACCGCGTTGCCTCATCAGCCTCCTCCCGTGCCCCCTGCCCCCCTGTTGCTTGCTGCCTTCCCCACACCTACGTTGGCGGATCGCCATTCCGGTATATCGTGCGCGCGAACGTTTGGGGCGCGATTCTCCTGTGCCCCGCGTCGCCCTTGATTAAGGTTTTGGTCATCCTCGTCGGGTTGGAGGAGATGGTCAAGGTGAGTCAAGGCGAAGCGATCGATCATGCGCTCCGGACACTCCGCGCTGCAGCAGTATGTGTATGAACGTGCACCGCTGGTTCCTCTGTCTTCGGTCAAGAGGGAGAGTGTCAAGAAAGGGGTTGGGGGTAGGAGGGGCGGGAGCCTTTCTTCCTGCCAAAGAGGTTGCAGAACGTACAAGTGCAACGAGATATGTGAATCCAACTCGCCGACCTTAAGTTGTTCACTCTCCTCCGCATCAGCCTCTCTTTTTTTTTCGTCAGCGCCCACAGGTCTAACGGTTGTATTTTTGCAACTGTCAAAACAACATGTTCCGACCCAACACGATATAAAATCGTATCATGTGGCGTGCTCTTCCTGACTCAACAACACGCCGTGCCGTTTTTGTTTGTCCTGTATGCTGTCGGAAAACAAACAAACAAACAAACAAACGAACCAGGTTGTCTTCGCTCGGTGGAGCAAGCGAGACGTGGCCATCGGGCGGGAAACAAAGGCGCACCAGATCGCCGCGACAGCTACCTCCGTCGGGTACTCGGTCGGGTTCTCTTTCTTCATGTAAGATTCCCTTCTCCCGCGCTCGCTGCTACATATGCGGGAAAGTGCGGTTTTCTCGCGCGCAAGCTGCAGGCGGGCTTCCTTCGAGTGTATCGAAAATGTTCGTCTGCCGGCCGGTATGCGTGCATGCTTGCGGGGGTCCCTGCTGTATGGCGCTTTTTGACGGTTTTGGGTCTACTGGCATGTGTGGGACACGAGAAGATCTGTTCAGGAAAATCAGCGGTTGCAAGTATTTGAATGGGCCCTGAAAAACACGTTTATTACTGTATGAGTATTGTATCATCACCGCGTACAGATGCTTGCGCTGTTGGTTGAGCGGTGACGTGTTTCTTTCGTCTCACCCCTCCCCTCCCGCCCGCCTGCTGAATCATGATCGCACACCGCGGCGGGCAATTTTTTCTGTCCAGGATAATCGTGCTGGACCTCGAGGTCGACCTCTTGCTGGGGATCCAGGCGGACTCGTCCGCCGACATGATCGTCGCGCTGCTGGCGCTCCTCATCACCACCATGTTCGGCACGCCGATGCACGTCCTGAGCGGCTACCTGGTCGGGCTGGAGGTGACCCGCCAGACTCACTTCATGAAGGTAGCCCTGTACACGTTCCTCATCAGATCACTCTTCATGGTGAACATCTTCCTGTGGGTCTTTCTGTTCGGGACGTGGCAGCCCATCATGGCCGGTGAGTGGCCTGGTGCTGGATGGTAGACAGAAATGCGGCAGCGAGTTTTTGGTGGTGGTGCTGCTGCTTCAGTAAGTAGGAACTTTGGCGATCCATCCCATCCACGAACATCGTGTTGAGTTTCCTGACAATACGCCACACCACATATGTGCAGATTCCCTGCTGTGTACGCCTCCATCTGTAATTATCTTTGCGTTCGTCTTTGGGTTGGTGCAGAAAAGTTGATCGTCATATTTTCATGTTTCGAACGATGCGCTCATTCCCTCAACTCCTCTCTCCCCTCTCTCTTCCTCGTTGTCACTGTATCGCTGTCTCTCCTCTCACAGGCCTCTTGCTGACGAACGTGTTGATATGCTGTGCCATGGTGCACCGCATCAAGAAAGTGGAGGCCACCCTGCCCGTGGAGTATCTTCAGCGCGTGGGGTACCTCCAGGTATGAGAAGCGTCCACCCCCTGAAATTCAGCACAGCGGATGAACCGCTCGGGCAGTCGGTGCAATTGTACATACGCGTAACTGTTTTGACCCCAGTAGAGCAGTGCCGTTTGTCGGTCAGCTGCTGTGAATTTGACGAAAAAATGGCGTTTATTTCACCTCCCAGCGCCTTCTGTATGTGGCATCTAAAAACGGCGTGGGCGTGGCTAGTTGGCAGCACGTAGTCATTCCGTACCGCATTCCTCATGGCTTTGGTGCGGTGTGTTGTGAAGAAGAACATGGCCGCGGCACGAAACGACGTTTCGCGTGTAACGCAGGCGTTTTCCGAGGGCTGTTCGACGACGCTCGGTGCGCTTGTTCGTAATTCTGGAAGAGTCAGACCCCTACTCCCGCACTAGTTGCTCTGGTAGGGTCTGTGGACTTGTGTTTTCGGTTTCGTGTTCCCTCCTCCCTGATCCTCCCTTTTTTCGCGTGCTACTGCTGTATGGCTTCCTGTAACTCTCTCGTAACCGCCACCACAACCGCCGTGCCCCCGTGGCTATGAACCTGGCAGGCTTTCGGTTACGGAGTTCTTCCTGGCGGGGATGTAGACGAGGTAGAAATCCCGAGCAACGTCGACGTAAACACTCTGGTCTAGGAGTAGGAGGACAAGTATGGCGGTGTCGATCAGCTGGGACGCGGTGGTAACGCCAGCGGAGAGCAAAAGGAGCTTTGGGCGAGAGCCACGAGGAACGTCTGCTGCTGCTACTGTTGTTGGCGGTGATTACTTCCACCGGGGTTTGGGCGCGATGGGGTGAAGGGAAACGGTGCATGCAGAGAACGAGAAACCGTTGTTTCTTCGCGAGCGGTGGAGGTGGAAGACCTCTCTCTTGTTGGGAATGGAAGGGATGGTGGAAAGGGGGGGGCAGCGGGAGAGGGATGGTTCCTTCGTGGGAACGAACTAAGCTGCTTGGCCGATGGCCTGCTGTGATGAAAGAGCAGGGCAACGCCCCTCTTTCCTGGACGGTTGGTCGTAGAAACGGTCGCCGGAAAAGGAGGCGACCGGCAGGGAGGGGGAGGGGGGGGGCGGACAGGGTGGTCTGAAGCTCTCAACCACACGATCCTCTGTAAGTCGTCTTGTGAACGTCCGTTGGAAACCGCCGCGAGAGTGTTTGGAGGCTTATCATCAAGACCACATTGGAGGTAGCACTAGATAGATTTGTCCCGTGTGTGTCTGTAGTTTCTGGTAGAAAGTCGAACCGCCCCCGGTGAGATCAGCTCCGATCTTGTTCCGCCCCGTTTTCTCAGCGTTGCTTGTCTCGTCGGCAACGACAGGAACGCCGCGTGAGATCGATTGGTTGGTTACCGGGCGAACAGCAAACCCCCGGCGTAAGTCATTCGTACGGGTGTAAGCACGCCTACTGTACCGTTGTGGCTTTGATTTGTTGTCTTGCCACGGGATGCTGGACCGGCTGCTCGGACCTGTCTGAAGGCTGAAACTGACAGCCGTAGAGGGTAACCGGGGGGAGTTCACGGAGTTTTGGATGCCGGGGAGGAAGCAAACGGTCTGACTTTTCTTATGTCGGTCGCTCTTTCTCTCTCTCCCGTCATGTATCTCTTTCTTGCGTAGCATTGGATGCCCCCCGCACCGCCCCCCGTGTTTGTATTCGTTTTCGATTTTTTGTTAGTATTTCCTACGATTCGCAGCCGTTCTTCAGAGTGTTGTTTGACGTCGATGGACCGACAGACGGCAGTAAGAGAACACGAACCTCAGACCTTGCCTTTTCCTGGGAAAGCACCTCGCAGCGTTTTCCCACGTTGTGCGCACGTGCGAAATGTGGAGCATTGGTACTGGTTGCTTGTGCATGCGTCTATACCGTTGGCGAACCCGGAGCCAGCCGCAAGCAGGGGGCTAGAGACGAACTGTACTTTCATGTTCTCGTGTACAAGCACAAATGCCCCATGTGTTTTCCGCCTCTCCGGCGAGCTCTCCTGTGCTATTATTCACACGCATCCCTCTCTCACAACTCCCTGCAATATTGTATGTCAGTTTCTCCCCAGACATTTCTTGTCTTTCTCCCAAGCTGCGGAGTTTTTCTTGTTGGGGTTCCATTGCGTCACGTCAACCTGCGCCTAAACGCAATGCCCATCCCAGTGCTACTCGTTACACTGGGTAATTGGCTGTGTGCACATAAAACCAACACAGCCATCGTCGTGAGGTGGCAGGATCTCTTCTTGCTCTATGCTCCACGGGTGAGAAACGCGGCTTGAGAGCTGCCAGCATCTTGCCACATTTTTTCACCACTTTCAATCAGCGCTCGAAGCATTACTGCCGGGTAAAATCCAATTCGTGGTCACGCAGAAGGGTTCATCTCCAGCGGAACCAAAAAATGGGTTAAGTTGTGCAGCTTTGCTCAAATCCGTAATTTGTACAAAAGACACCCGTGGTTAGTCCTTTGCTCATCATGACGAACCCCCCTTCCACCCGCCGCCTCCTCAAAAACAAAACGGTACGCACGTACATCGGGTGTACAGCAGCACCAAGACACGAAAAAGGAAATATCGCAGTACAATCTCAAACATCAGAGACGAACGTGGAGCCTTGGTCGACGCCCCGCGACATTCGACGCCCCGCTTGATTGCAGTGGGTGCCATCAAGGTGCAAGCTCTCCAATTTTTCGATGTTAGATGTAGTCGCGCGTTTTCCTCATCGCATAGTTTTTTGGTGGTCAAAAACGCGTCATCACCGGCATGTGGTGCATAGTTTTGGAACAATGCAACCCCCCCCCACGAGCATACGCTCATGTGTAGGAACAACACCACACCTGCCCCGAGAAGAGGTTTCTCGCTGTAAATTCGAGGAAGCTTCCGTCAAGGAGCAGTGCGACACTACGGAAATGCGAATACGACTCACGACACAACTCACAAAACAAGTGACATCTATATCAGGTGTACATAAAACTACAGTATTTCGACAACAGGAACGCATATGCATACGCACAACGCGACACACGCAACACAACCATTCCACACCGGCATTATGCCACCTGAGCACATGACACCAAAACTCAAACAGGGCTTGCCATAAACGACGGCACGGCTCCCTACTGGTGCGTTGCCTATCGTGTACCACTTGCGGCGTAATCCCCACCGAACCTCATCTGGTTCTTCCTGCGCGGAACTCAATCTTATCGTGTGCCGACAGGGTCGGAGAATGCGGGCGCAACAGGAGAATAAGACACAATTTACACCGATCGGTCCAATCGACCACCCAAGTCGTCAGGAGGACTTCAGCTTCTGCTTTCTCGCGGACTTCATGAGGGTCAGGCCGATAAACGTTGCCACGAGCGTGACGAGGAGGATGACAAGCACGGTGGGGATGGCGATGGCGTACTTCCGAGGCAGGAAAAAGTCCTGCACCGGGTGCGAGGTGTCCACGAACGGCTGTGTGGCGCAATTTGAGCGCAAGCGTGCAGCAACGCGGTGTACGGGGGCACGGGAGACGGACAAAGGTCGGGGGCAAGGAAAAAAAACACATACTCAAGCCAGCAGCAACAGCAGCCGAATGAGTGAACGAGCCAGGCACGAAGCTTCCGTGGTCGAGTTACAAACACCCGACATGCGTGTTCGTTCGTTGATGTACATACCGCGTTGTTGGTTGTCCTGCGGGATAATGGACATTGATCTCACACCATGCCGGCATAACTCGTCGCCACCAAATGATGACATCAGAGACACCTAGCCGCACCGCTAACTGTAGACTAAACCAGGTACTGTACTTGTCCCCGATGCACATGTTTGATATGAAGCAGAGGGGTCTTGCCCTACATAATAAAAACAAACTTACCAGGACGATGACCCAGAGCGTGTAGTATACGAAGATGGTGACGCTCACGAGCAGCAAACCCGATCCCACCAGCTTGTCGCTGCTGACCGCCTACAAGGCGAGAGGGTCGTCCCACGCGTACGTACGTAACGCCCGAATACGAGGAGGAACATTAGGAATGCATCGGAGCGCGAAATTCAGACTGGTCCGGAGGTTCGAAAGGCAGGCGTGTCGTGTTGATGGCATCTTGATCTTGTACAAGTTATTTCATGTGCTGACATCTGCGCACCACACCAGTAGCATTACTCTTATCACTAAACGAAATAAATCTGCGATTGCTGCAACCGCTGTTATTTATGCAAAGTTGACAACCAAGCTGCAGTAGAACTAGCTACTTTCGCGTGACTTCATAGACTACAGCAGCGATAAGAGGGCGAAAGACGCAGCGCCGCTACTGCTCTTCGTGAGCGGCGTGCGTCCGGGGTCTTTGTCGAGGTATGCATATATCATACAAATGTACTGGGAGTTGCACGCGCAGTGTGACTTTGCAGCGCCGATGATGTGGAGACATGGGTACGGTGGTTGCCCAAATCTTTATCTTCGGTCTCTCGTTTCCATCCCACAAACACTGCTGTAGCGAAGTACTGCTCAAGGCAGTTAATGTCAATGCGTAGCTTTCGCTGCGAGGCTTTTGTCGCGCCCAACTCTGCGGACGTGTTCGGTTCAGGTCCAGCACGAACGAATCTGGAGTCCTTCATGGTGTTGATACTGATGAGGCTGTCTGTGTGTATGCTGCTGCTGCTGCTGCTGCTGCTGCTGCTGCTGCTGCTGCTGCCTGCACTATGCTGCTGTGTAGTCTCGACTACTAGCGTACAGAGTTGCTTGCAAGAGCCGTAACATCACATCCCGATATCAACGGCGATTAGTGGGTTAGCAGGCTACCGAAAATGTGTTGTGAACGTCCCACAGCTTCCCCAGCAAATAAAACCACATTTTCAACCTCTCACCATGATCCTCTCCTTGCAACCGGTAGAAAGCAGAGCTTGGGAGCAAGAGCTCTTTCTCTTGTCTCCGCGTCGGCGCACAGAGATGCGGCGAGACTTGCGAACCGGGGTTGCATTTTTGCGGCGAAAAACGCCTCGATATTCGACGGTTGGCCATTTCCACCACAACCAGTGCGAAGGCGAAGAGCGGCTTCGTGTGTCAACGGGTTGCTCGACTCCTGAGGTGTGCAAGAACTCTACTGGCGTCAGCACGCAGAAGCTGGTACCTCCTGCTGAAGAGGCAAGTCATTCACAGGGTTGCATTTGTGTGTGTTGGTCGAGTGATCCCCAAGCCCCAGGATTCAGATACGACGTCGACTGCTGCTGTACGGCAGCAGCAGGATGTAGTCTACAGCAGTGCCTACAGCAGCAGCAGGATGTAGTCTACAGCAGTGCCTGCTGCTGTGCTCTGTGGCGCGCTATTGTAGTCGTCGTCGAACATCAACGGGGAATACCGACAGAGAGAGAGAGAGAGAGAGAGAGAGAGAGAGAGAGAGCCGATGAGCTCAATGCATGACTGCAGCTGAAGTCACGATAGGATGTAACTCCCGTTGAACAGGCTTCGTTTGTGTGTTCGTCAAGCGACCGATTTGATCTACAACGGCGGTCGACGGAACGTTCTCTTCCCTTGCCATCCACAGCGCAACGACTACAGCAAGTGACCCTTCCTGCTATTATCAATCCGTGACCGAATTCGTGCAGATGGCTTCTGAGGAGGACAAGCGTCATGCACCCAACGGCGGAGGCACTCTGGTGCTGGATACGTCGTGGATCGACAACTCTGCTGTTGTTGCGGTCGCCTCTGGTGGAGGTAGTGGCGGCGTAACTCGAGGGCGCGGCGGTGGCAAGCGGCGCACTCGCCGACGCACTCTAAGCCCATCGATCGGCAAGCACAACTACATGTCCAACGTTGACTTGAATGACCCCATGAAGTATCCGAGTCTCCCATCGTCGGGCGGTGACGACGGCGGCAGCAGCAACCATCAGAAGAGCAGCAGCCCTAGCAGCCACAATCAAGAAATCGGAGGAGGATCAGCCGAGCTGACGATCCTTCGCCCTCCTCCTCAGCGGGACACCGATGCTGCTGTTACTTCGCCTGGTGCCGATTCCGCCGCCGCTATTAGCGTTCCTGCTTCGCCTAGCGGCAGCACGGCAAGCCCGGACACCGATCTACCGGACCCCACGGCCGTCGCCGACCTGTTCGAGGCCGAGGAGGGGACAACACCGGCTCCGCGGCCGTCGCCGCTGGGCACCCTCAATAACAACGAGACGAAGCCCTCCTCATCATCCGCTCCAAAGAAGAAAAGCGAAGGGAAACAGGAGCCTCGGGGGCAAGCGTCGTCGGCAGCGGTAGCACGGGGGCGTCTTAGTCGCCGCGCCACTTTCGGCGGAGCAGATGCTCGCATACGCCTGGAAGCGGAAAACCTCGCACCTGTTTTGCCCAGCAAGCCACCCAACCCTGTTCCTGCTGCTCCAGCTCCTACCGCCACGAGATCGCCTAGGGCCATGGACGGAGAGGTCGTTGGTGCCGCGGAGGAGCAAGCTTCGGGTCTCTCTACTGCGGCAGCGGCGCCGGTAACTCGTCCAGGCGATGGCGAAGAAACACAGGAGCGGGTCCCGCCGCCGCCGCCGCCCGCTGCCGCGACGAAGAAGAGCAGGTCCCGCAGCTCCAGGCGCAGGTCGATCGTGATGCCCTGCGAAGCTCAACCGTTGATGGACAGCGATCTCGGTGACGGCCACGCCGAGGCCGAAACCGCAAACATGCCGCCGCCGCCGCCGCCGCCCGCGCCGCCCGCCACCGGGGGTGATGGCACGGCCGCAGCGGCGGCGGCACCTGCAGACGGCGACGGCAAGCCAAGCCGAGGCAACACCAGCACGACCAATTCCCCGGCTGACGAGCTCCCGCTCTCCTCGATCAACGTCGTGTCCTGCCTGTCCCGCCCGCTCGCGGCTCAGCGCGGCTGGCCGGTGGGCGATGAGGACACCAGGAAGCGGCTCTTTCGGGCGTTCTACGGGGCCGCCCCGGGCTCGCAGAGAGCGAGGCGCGTCGCGGCGCGGCTGTTCTGCCTGACGGGGTACGCCTTGTCCGCCGTGGCCCCGGAGGATGCACGGGTTCTGTGCGAGGTGGCGGGGGATAGCATGGAGTGGGGGCTGGAGGGGGACGAGCCCAGGCTGGTTAGTCAGCCCGTCCGCCGCGAGTCGAAGGAGCAGAAGAGGGGGCTGGTGCTGCGAATCAAGGTGAGGGACGTAGGTTTTGGGTTTGCGTTTTTTTCGTCGGGTTTGCCTTTTTACAATATCTTGGTCTGCAACCAGTACGTACGGTAGCTGAAGCGGACTAGCGTTTGTGGTGGAAACATGCAGATCAAGATTTTGTATTCGTAGCCTAGGGGCCGTCTGCACCGAAAAGCTGTCGCGGCACGTGTCTGCTGCTTCGGTTTCCTGTCAGCCGCCTGCACTTCCACTTTCATTTACTTTTTCATCTCCCCCGAGTCTTGTGCTCGGCCCCCAAAGTACCAGTGTTCTATGAGGCCACCTCTGGCCAACTCACGCGAGAGTATCAAGCTGATGCATGTTGATGCTGCGCCGCAGCTTGGTCAGGTGTATCTGAGTGCGTCGCATACCCAGACAACGTAATAATGTTCATCACCGACGATACCCGCTGTCAGGGGTTGTTGGATCGGTTGCGTTCGCCTTACCGAGCACGTTCACGGGTACCAAAAAGTTCTGCGTAGCTCATGTGGTAGGACAGAGGACAGCCTCGTCCTTTCAGTCGAAACCGGCTTTGAGCAGCACCAGCCTTCCCTCTTCCTCTCTGTGGTCACGGAAGTGGGATTAGCTGCCCGAAATCCATGTACGACTCTGAAGCTCTTGCTACAGTTTAGCGGATAGCACCTGTTCACGAGTACAAGCATGCTCTTTGGTTGAGCGACACAGAAAAAGCTTTCGGGCTATGCATACTACTACTAAAAAAATCTTTCGCCGTTTCAGCTGACTTGCTTGTGTACAGGTGATTCCTGTGTCCAATATTGTACCGCATTGTGCAATCACGTACATCAGACCGCCAAACTCTCTCTGCCCCTTGCCCCCCCCCCCGGTCTTTCCGTGCAACCTACTTACCGCGAAACAACAACCGCGTCCCCTTTCCCCAGCCGCTTTTCGATCTCATGGACAAGGCCTCCAAGGACGAGAAGCTCAAGGCTGAATCGGCAACCGGGGTCGTGTCGCGGAAAGCCGCCCCTGACGGCTTCTGCTACGAGGACCGCGAGACAGGCGAGCCCGTCGAGCCGGGCGCGTACAAGGGTCCGTACCTGAGACACGTCCGCGATGTTCGCGCATCCAGGGTTCGGGAGTTTGCGGCGGCGCGAAGGGTTGCTGCTGCTGCTGCCGCTGCCGCTGCTGCTTCTTCCTCTGCCTGCCCGGAGACGGCCGTCGATGGTATGATGCCGGGGGTCGAGAAGAGCGCGTCGTCGTCGGTGAAGGGCACAGCCATTTCTGTTGCCTGCACCTCACCCACGCGAGCGGAGGCGGCGAGCAAGTCTCGGCGTGACGGAGAGGGGCTGGTTGCAGACCCGGCGACCGATGCTTTCCCAGCGGCCAGCGGCGTTACTGTGGAGGAGTCGCCCACGGAGAAGGAGAGTCTTCTGCCTGGCGCCGCTTTGGGGGGTGGGGTTGACAACAACGGAGACACGCCTTCGAAGAAAATCGATGGTGGTGGTGCGGTTGTCGCGGTAGAAGAGGGAGAGGCCCGAGACGATGCGTCGGGGGCAGAAGAAGCTGACGTGCTGGCAATGACAGATGGTATTACACAGGAGACGTCGCCCGAAGCCGCGGCAGAAACACCACGGACGATAACTCCAGGGGAAGGGGGGGGCGTGGGGACGACAGCAGCGGTGGCGACGAACGCCGCGGAAATCGAAACTCTGGTTCCTTCGGATGAAGCGGCGGTGGTGGATGGTGCAGGGCAGGAGGAAGCCATGGCTGAAGCGTTGGTGAGCGGTGAAGTCCAAGAGGTGGAAGATTTTGAGGTGTGGAAGGAAATGACCGCTCCGGTAGTGGCTGGGGGCGGCGTTGAGGCAATACGTGAGAGCGCCGCTGGCGAGGTCAACCTCGATTCGTCACCACCAAGTCATGGTGCTTCCGCAGCGGTTGGGCCACGTCCCCTTTCCGCAAGGCTGGAAGAACCTGATGGCGGCTCGGGTCTTGAAACAGCAGCGATTCATCCACCTTTTTCTCACGGTGTTCCAGAAATTCCCGGCGTCTTCGGCCCGGAAGAGAGCAGCGCCAGGCGGGCCCCTGAGACATCGCCCCCTCATTTATCGGCTGCACAAGGAGTAGTCAGCCCCATGACGACCTCGTCGGTGAACGCTGGGTCCTCCCGGGATGACAAGGGCCGCGACGGCGCTCCTCTCGCCGCCTGTGGCCACAGAGTGGGTTCCGTTTCGGAACGGGTGGAAGAGGCCGTCTCAGCGTACTCCCCGCGGAGGGGTGGTCAAACACCGAGGATTTACACCACCGGACACCCCACCCCCAGGAACGGTGGTGGGAGCAGTGCAAGAGTGCTGGGCCCGCCGAGTTCGCCACCTGGTGGTGGTGAGGCTTCGTCACCTTTTGTCGAGCAAGGTCAACATGAGGAGTCGCTGAGTGGCGGGGCGCCAGGTTCAGGAGGGACGGCTTGGAAGGCGTCTCCCTTCGGAGTTGGTAGTCCCTTCAGCGCGGCCGCCTACGGTGCGGGTGCCCCTACGGTGCCCCCCGGGACGGGGGTGGCCGTCAGCCCAGGGCAGGACGACGAAGAAGGTGCGGAGGAGATTGCCGCTCTCGAGGAACGCCTTTGGGCGGTGGTGGATGCGGCGCTTCGGGAGTACCATGACGGGGTTGCTCTCGTGAGGTCCAGACGCAATCACCATGTATTTGCCACAGCTGCTGGAGCTTCTGAGGCCGAGAAAAATTCGTCGGCCCTTTCTTGCGTGCCTGATGCGGGGGCGGCTGCGACGCCCCCGCCAGCAGCCCAGGTTGGCGAGATAGCTGCCTCGATGACAAGCTCGGGGTTGGGCCCCAAGGAAGATGCCTATGCTTCAGGCCTACCGGCGAAGGCGGCCCCAGCAGCCACAACCCCGTTGACCGATGACGTCGGCCGCACGAGGGCGGTGGCGGCACCGGCGGCCGCAACGGTCGACACCGACGGCCAGCCCACGCCTGACTCGCCTCTCTTGCCTCTGCTGCAGCTGCGTCTTTCGGAGGAGGAAGACGACGAGCGGTTCGAATATTCTCTTGCCTGGGGAGCGGGTGCGGAAGCTGGCGGCGGCGGCGGCGGCGGCGGGTCGTCACAAGCAGGTGGAAAGGCACGACGACGAAGCCTGGCCAAAGCGTTCTCCTCGCACAAAACAAGGAAGGAGCCAAAGGCGCACGAGGGAGTGGGGGCGAGGCCGGCGGCGCAAGCAGCAGGAAACGAATCTGAGGCGCGGGGCGATGGGGTTGGGGGCGGCAAGACGACGACGTTGACGTGCAGACTTTGTTGCCGAAACGCCTGCGACACGGTGATGAAGCCTTGCCAACATTCGGCGTGCGGCGTGTGCGTGGACAAGCTGCGGGGCCAGGCGGAACAGTCTGGGCAGGCCTTGTCGTGTCCTTGGGACCGGCGGGGTGTAGATGAGATACGTCCACTGCAAGAAAAGAATTGAAAGTAGGTACCCAAGCAAGGTTGGTCGTTGTTGTGGTGTTAAATACTATAATACCTGCGTTGTTTGGAGATGGTTCTCAGGTTGCGTTGTTTTGGGATTGTTTCTCGGCCTATGATATAGATTCTGCCAGGGGGGAGGGGGTCGACTCTGGGGTATGTCGGCTTTGCCCACGCTTATCAGCGTGTACCAGGTCGTAGTTGTTGACAAACTAAGATCTGAGCTGACAAAAGAAAAAGGGCGTTCGGCGAGAAAGACGCCTCTTCTGTGACAGAACAAGTGACTTCCAATGTGCCAACAGCAGGAAGAAACGATGAATCAACGTCTTGATAGGATGATCACGGGTGGTTCGGCGGGGAGTTGATCACCCGCCGCTATGTATATGGTGATGACTTTGTACCAAGTGCAACTCGAGCAACAAGACCAGAGCGCGCCCAGGATCAATTTCTTGTTCGAGAAGAAGTAGTAGTAGAGACCCAAAACCGGTGATTGGCTCAGGGGGTTTGCTCGGGGGCGGCACGGTTGATTAACCAGGGTAGAGCTGGTTCGTTCTTTGAGCGTTTCTCGATGAACAGAACATGTAGTATGTAGCCGATTGCCTGTGCGGTCTGTACCACCATCATCATCATCAGAATCCAAGAAGGCCGTTTCTCGACTGATGATCCCTCATACGATTGTATTGTACACATCCATCACTCATTGTGCCCACGGATAGAGCAAACCTCGCACACCGTCCTATTAGTTAGTTGGACTTGAGTTCGAAAAATGTGTCCTTGGGTACCTCTCGGCGCCGGCACACGAAGCGGGATTTCTCGAAATATAGACTTTGGACTCCACGGTCGCCGTCGAGGGACGGACATGAACAGCTGACTGAATCCTTCACGCCTTGGTTACACATCGATAGTAACTCTTTAGGACTAACCGATGTTGAACGTAGCAAGGCTAGGTTCTTCACGCGAGCAAGGCTAGGTTGCCCACCCCACATCTACCCTAACCCTAACCCTCACCCACGGCCAAAGCACGGCCTGCTGGGCGGCACGCGGCTGCGCCGCGTGCTCGGAATGCGGAACGGGGAGAGGGCGCTGGAGAGGAATCGGCCGCCAGAACCAACGCCGAACAACGCCCGACCAATCAGAACGCGTTAGTCCTAAAGATCTACTATCAATGTGTAAACACTACTCGCGATGAAATCTAAGGTTAATGCCACCGCACAGCGTTAGCTACAATGCGAGCTGTAGGAAGTTGACCGAGATTTCGGAGGGATGACACACACCACACCAACAATGATGACATCTTTGTACAGATCTTCTCGTACTTTGCATGTTTGTCATGGTACTAACCATGTTGTACTGATCACCCCCCAGAAATCTCGGAATCTCGGATGCAGAATGGAACAAATTTGAAAATATACGGCGCAATCGCGAACGTTTGGACCTTTCTTACAATTCTTTTCGACTCTTTCGGATGGATACAGCAGCAGCATAGCAGCATTTATGCATTCCTGCCTCTTTCACCCCTCCAGCAGCAGCACGAGAGGCAGGGACTTCATCCCCCGCCCTTCCACCTTCACACATGACCATGTCCAACACATGGCCGGGAAATTTCAACGACCGCGGCCAGAGGTGGGCACAGGCAAACCTCTGTAATGCTTGCTCTCTCTGAGGGAAGCTGTTACAAAGGCGTTCTTTGTAGTTTCCTGCTCTGCTGTCGTTTTGGGCCCCGCAGCAACCCCGGAAAAAAACTCTCGGTTCACCAGCGAGCGACTTGCAGACACCAGCCGTTGTTACGTGCAACCGAGCTGCACAAGTTCGACGAAGGTAGTTTTCCGAAAGGAGCGAAGGAGACAGCAGTTCCGTGTAGATCACCACCCTTTGTAGCCATCCGAAGAAGCTGCCTATATTTTCCCCCTGTTCGGCACGAAAATCCTGCTGGTGTACAGGCAGTTCAATATGGATAATTTGACTTTTTAGAAGGAAGACCGGAGACAGCAAAGAGTAGACGCATCGCGCGTTCACCGCATGGAAGCCACGTGAAGGCAGGCAGGGGCATCTACACCATCGTTGTCTTATCCGAAGGGCGTCGGTATTTGCTTATAGTGCTCGCGACACAGCGGTATGAATCTCTGACAACATCAGCATCGACCTGGTCTCTCTCTCGGTCTTTTGGATCTCGGTCTTTTGGATCACAGAATCACAGAATGCTCGCCATGCAAGTGTTGGCGGTCGGTGTGATGGGCGGTGCGCCTAACCTCTGCGTAACAGACTCATGTACCTATCTGCTGGATGTGTGGGCGCATTGTTGGCGTATGTGTAACCAAAGCCCGGCAAGAATAGTGGTGGCGGTGGTAGTGGTTGATTGGCTAGAGAGTACGGGACGGGAGGGTTATTATTCTTGACGAAATAAACCTTGCACCACATGCGCTGCCGGATCATAGATTCGACGGGGGCTTAATATCCAGGGTTGGGGTTGTGGGGGGAGGCAAGGACTATCGAAGCCATGAAGCACAACTACTGGCCCGCGCTTGAATTAGACTCGAGCTGGGAGACATACAGGGTTGACAGGGGCGGGAAAGAACGTAGCGAAGTTGGGTGCGGAGCGCGTCGCGGTTCTGACAAGTACCGAAGTACACAGAATCGAAAAAGAGGCTCCGCTTCGGGAAAACCTCTCCTGATAACGTAGATGCGACAGTATTCAAGACCGTCCGCTGCTTGCGACGATTTAGAACCAACGCACATGTGCATATTGCATCCCAGATCCCAGACGTAGAGGAAGTGCCAGAGAAAACATGTGCCTATTTATTTCTACAATAACACAACCATTTATACTAGATAGATAGTCTCTATTCCCACAGATAAGAGTTCGGGATTACTTCATTCTTAGCGGAGCCTCACCCACTCGTTTGAGATCGGTCCGGCGTCATAAACCCGTTATTGTACGCAATATATGCTCCAAGCGTCCCGTTACATCTCGACCTCTGCAGTTCGGCCCTGTGGAGCATACATATGGTGTTGCTGTTTGTGTGCACCAAGGCCGCATGAATATTGCGGGAAGTTTTGCACTTCAAAGAGGATGACATTTACCGCAGTCCCGCAACAGAATGAACGCTAGCAGAGGGAAGACCCCCCTGCGGCTGCAGGCCCTCCCTGCCTACAATGTACAAACCCACCTTTGTTTCGTCCTTCGTTGTGCACTACCTACCTTCGCTTCAACGCTGGCCCACAGGACTCGAGACAGCAAGTTGCTTGCGGCATTCGCTTATGAGGGAAGGCAACGAGGTTCGGGGGCAGGCGGAGTTGGCGACGATGGTTGCGCAACGGTCCGGACCGTGCTCGACAGCCGTGCTGACATAGGTAAGTCTCGGCCTCTCTCGCGTGCCGGGTGTTCATTCAAGCACATGGCCAGGAACCATTTCGCGGTTAACCGGTGCCTTCGGTCACAGCCAACCCCCCTCCCCTGCTTTGTGTCGTGAACACACGCAGCACTGATATGCTGCTGTGTGTAGGTGCCGCATTTTAACGAAAATCGAATAAGTTTGGTGCCGTGGAATTTTTTTTCTGCCCTTGCGCCTGCCATCTCTCCCAGGCGCATCGATGCAAGACTGCAACAGCTCAAAGGAATGGACCCCTTTCTTCTCCTCAACGGGCGAGATCAACGATCCCTTCCGTGTCGTCGCCCACGCACCGGCTGCAGCTTTGAGCGGCGCCAAGCTCAGAGCTTCCCCGACGACGGCTACCACCCTGAGCAGAGAGCTTCTTCCCAGAGCTCTTGCGAGAAAGTCGGCTTCGAGCCGGAGGCCCACCCACCAGGGTGTCCAGGTCGAGAACGAGAGTGACAACGAAAACGACGCCGAGGTCGCGTTCTCCGTCCCGCCCAACGTCCAGGCCGTCCTCAGGCGTTGCGCTGCCCAGAGTCGAGATCGGGTGGCGGGCGGCACCGCCGCGGGGGGTGGGGGGGGCACGCATACCGCTCAGCCCGCGGCGGCGGCGGCGGCGGCCACACCGTCCGTGACGCCAACGGTAGCGCCTTCCCGATGCGAGGACCGCCGTGCCGCCTTCGCCCGTGGTGAGCAAGGCGACGGAAGTCACTTCTCTGCCGCTGGCAAGACCGGAAGAGGCAGCGGTAGCGGCGGCGATGGTGTCACGCACGGGGGGAGTGATGGTGAGCGGGGTCTGGTTACCAGTTGTGATGGTCTCGACGCTGAGGAGGGCGGCGTTGGCATTTCTGTGCACGATCTGGAGGCATTGCTGTATGACATGGGGGACGAGTCGACCTCTAGGAGGAGACCTTCGTTTCTGGCTGATATGGGCGAGAGGTCGAAGTCGGTTTCGAGAATGATCACCACCCCGTTCCGCCGAATACGGGGAACGTCCAAGACCCCATAGCAGCGGCGCGGGCGGACACGTCGTTGGTGAGTTTTCTTGCAGCAGCCTTGCGTGCTTGCTTGTGTGGTTTATTTGCGTAAGGATCGACCGCGCGGTGGTAGCAGGCTGACCAATGAAAACACACCAGTCTTACAGCCTGACAAAGGGTAAAAGTAGCAGCCTGAGAGAAAGCGGAAACACGTCTACACTGGTGTGCGTGCTCCCTCCACAGAAGGGCTGCCGGCGAGTTTGAACGAGGATCTACATAGGTTGAGGGTTAGGTAACGGTAGGGCAAAGGGAGCTTGTTGTTTCGATCAGCATTGGCAGCCCTAGCTTGGGGTGAACAGGCGTGGCCAGTGGCGCGCCGGATCACGTTAGAACGATTTCTCGTCGGCGGGATCCTCCGATAAGGCTGTGCGTGCAGGATCAGGTTATCGCGGCAGTTCCTCCTCTTGTTTATTTTTGTGTTGTTTTGCGGCATTCGGAACGCCCTGTCCTCTTGACCAATCACTTTTTGCAGAGGCCTCGCACACGGTGTGAATACCTGTGTATAACCTTCGGGGGCGGAAAGAGGTCAGTAAGTAGCGGACAGACCGAGTTTGTTCTCGTTACTCATACTTTTTCGCCGCCGTTTCTTGTTGGTCGTTTGGATTGTGGGCTACATGTTTCATGTAGGTTTTTTACGACAGCCTTGAAGAATATAGATGAATACATGCCCCAGACAGAGAGTGACAGCGAAAACGAGGCAGCCTACCAAGATTAACCTACGCGCTTATCCGTTCGTGTCTCCCATACCCATGGCAGCGCCCAGCGAAGTGCGGAGAAGGGGACACAAATTTAATGGATTCTTCGACAGCGCGGGTGGATCAACAACGGGCGGATCGGAGCGCAGCAACAAATACACTCAGTGCTACAGTGTGCTGCGGTACGGCGCTTTACATTCCAAGTGACCTCTCTTCTTGTCGTACAACGATTTATACCCATGAGCTGTGGAGATCGCGCCCATAACGACAACGTATTGCTGTAGAGAGGAGCAACGTGCGTTGTCGTTGAGTGAGTGCATTGTGCCGATTTTTACCCGGGTTTAGTCGCCCAAGAGGGGAACGTTTGTTCGGTGACTTGAGACGCTCAACGCAGCAAACCGCGAGAGTGGAAGTCGTCGCGGTTGTGCACTTTTTTTGCTGCAGCTACCGTTGAGGGGAAAACTCACGTTCTTTTTTACCGCCTGAGAATGAAACGCTGAACGGTTTGCTTGTGAGAGATGTTTGGAATGGGACGTAGAGTGCGTGCGTCACGGCGTTCTTTGCCGTTTTGGGGGGTTTGGTTTCGGTCTTGATGCGAGTGAATCTTCTGTCTTTGGACAGTTTCGGAGACAGATGGGGGCGAAGGGCGTATAGCAGGCGTTCGGGCGGTGCTCGACGTGCGTGCGTGCGTGCGTGCGTGCGTGCCTATCGCCATTTTGAGTATTTGAACCGGGAGGTAAAGTGTGTCAGGGCGGTCGTTGCCGTTTGAGGACGGCTAGCGAGTCTTTGGACGGGTCCGGAGGTAGATGGGCGGCGTAGGACTCAGCAGGGGTTCGGGCGGTGCCGCTCGACGTGTAGCGCGTGCGTGCCTTTGCCTTTAAGTGTGCAATGGTGGTGGTGTGGGGTGTGTGTATTCTTTGCCGCACGTTCCAAGTAATCTTAGACTATCTAACTAGCTAGGCCTATCTCCCGTCTGTGGAGATGTTCTGTTTTAAAGCCGTGTTGGGTACGTCCGGACAGTTAGTATGTACGGTCAGTTTTTGGTTTTTGTGGGGCTGGCGTGTGCGACAATCACACGCGTACTTAACCATTTTGGTGAAATTCGGAGTAAACTAATGCTGTGGTGGCAGGAGCCGTCCTGTGCTTCGCTGCGTAGTCGCGATGCTGGTCGAGTGTTGAGTTTCCCTCGTAAACCTATATCTATCTAGCGGTGGGTTTGGAGTTCGAGTGAATCCCGGCGACGCGCGTTTACTCCGTATTTCCTTGTTCTTCGTATAGATGGTACAGAGAGAGAGAGGTGATTCGTGATTATGAGTGCATTTATTTGAGGGACAAACGACTGACTGACTGACTGTTGTTGCAGACCCTTTCTTTCCTCAGCAAATTAAATGTATTGAAGGCGTACCGCCAAGAGTACCGCAAAGAAATTCTGATGATGTGTGGCCCCGAATCGGAGCTCTCTATATTCCTTCTACTATGTAGTAATGTATGCATAGACTATGAGTACTACATGTACTCCGTATGTATGCAGTAGTAGGCACGGCCTTGAGTACAAAGCATGGCGCCCGTGCGAGCGACGTGGTTAATAGATGGAGACGAGAGAAGAGAGCAAACATATTTAAATTTCTGCTTTGACTCTTCGAGTGTGTCAACCTGCCTGTCTGTCCGTCTGTAGCTACTTCTGCTGCTGCATGCGGGACGAAGAAGGTGTTTGTCTTGTGTTTCTGGTGATGGCGGAGAAAGTGCACGTCGGCGAATCGTTCGTCGTGTGGTCGGTATGTTCGTTGTTCCATGTTCTTCAACTAACTATCGATAGACTTTACTCCTACTCTTTACTTGTTGTGTATCGTCACATTTATTCTAGATGGTCGGTGATCTCACCTGTCTGTAAAATTAATGACAGCAACACCAGCGAACTTTGTATCACGGCTGCCAAGGTATCTGGAACCACTGCAGTGTATGTACAGTCAAAGCAAGATCGTCTGGTATGTATCTTACTGCGGTTGTCACTGCTGCTGTCGTTCGTACAAACTCCGGATTATATCTCCACAGTAGCAGTCAGCCACCATATCTCACTCTAGCTGCGTCTGTTTGTCGTGCACTTGAAAACACCCGTTCTCCCCACACCAGAGGGCCTGTCGCGAAAAACGGTGATATAGCTGCGCTGGAGCGAATTCCGACCAAGGAGACGGAACCAGAGAGACAGAAGATTTAGGGGAGGGGGGTTGGGGGGGGAGACTGCTGTACCGAACCAAAACGCAAAATTAACATGCCGTCCGTGTGGTACGCCCTACCGGTAGGTGTTCCGCCGCGCAGCGCCCCACACCCCACACCCCACACCCCACAGCCATAAGGAGGTCAAGGAGTATCGACGCATCGACATATTGACACTGCGCTATGGCTGAGGACTTGGCAAGCGCTACCCATGCTGTGGTGAGTTATTGGGCGCGTCTCATTCTATGACGCAGATCGCTAGCTTCCATGTACAAGCAGCGTAGCAAATACTACGGGTTGTCTCGGGTCAAGTGCATCAACAGCCAACAGCCAGCCGTGGTCGCCTCTGTCTGTATTTGTACAGCAGTGCAGTGGAATGTCGCTGCTTGAGAGGGCCAACGCATGCAACCGGTTGCAGACCGCTTGTTGTGCTGTAAGATGTCGGTGTGCTGACCCCTCGCCACACTCTTGCTACGCACAGGCACTGTCTGTAGTTCAACATAAACAACAGGTACAGTACAAGAGTACAATGCCCGTAACCTGTGGTACAGCAGTTACCCACCTGCCAGGTGCTCGAGCGCGGTTCCTACGTACTACACGGGTTGGTGTTTAGCAGTGACTACAGCAGTAGCACATCCCTCTCGCTTGAGTTCCACGAGCAGCAGCGACCGGAAAGAGGCACTCCTCGGCATACGGCAGTAAGTATGTGACGATCCCGAGCTCAAGTTGAACATGTCGGGCATTCATCGCGGAACCGCCAGAGAATCGCAGCCAGCATGTCTACGTATTTCTTGTGGAAGAGAAGTCTGGAGGACAACCAAGGTTCGATTTTGGTCCGTGCATGCACACCAAAGGTAGCGTAGACTCCACAGCTGGGTGGTTGCCCTTACGCAGGCCGTATACGCTCAAACCCTTGTCGGTCCGCGCGAGGGTTTGCGTCTCATGGGCACGAACGAACCGCCTCGCGTTTCTGTGTTTTTTTCTTACGCTACGCGTTGCGTCCGTCCTCCATGATACACGGCATCTCGATACTGATACATTATATCCTGCTTTGCTCTTCCCGCTACCCTTCTGAAGGAAGCGTTTCGGGAGTTCCTCCGCATCCGCTCGGTCAGCGCAGAGGGCCCGCAAGGAGCCTACGCGGAGGCGGCGAAGTGGGTCTCGGACTACGCTCGCGACCAAGCCGGGCTGACGTCCATCAAGACCGTCGAGTACTCAGCGGGGAAGCCGGTGGTGCTGATGGAGTGGCCGGGCTCGGAGCCAGACCTGCCCTGCGTGCTGCTCAACTCCCACTACGACGTCGTGCCCGCGATGCCCGAGCACTGGCACACAGACCCCTTCGCGGCGGTGATGAAGGACGAGGCCGGCGGCGGCCGCATCTACGGCCGCGGCACGCAAGACATGAAGTGCGTGTGCGTGCAGTACCTCGTGGCGATCGCCCGGCTTCGCCGGTCCGGGTTCCAACCGACCAGGACCGTGCACCTGAGCTTCGTGCCCGACGAGGAGATCGGGGGCGCGGACGGCATCAGTCTGCTGCTCGCCTCCGAGGAGTGGAAGGCCCTCGGGCCCGTGGGGATCGCGCTCGACGAAGGGCTGGCCAACCCCAGGAACGCCTTCACCGTGTTCTACGGGGAGAGGACGCCCTGGTGGCTGCTCGTGAAGGCGGAGGGGCCGACAGGCCACGGCAGCCGGTGAGTCGTCCCCGCTTGGCCGAACCGCACCAGCCCGGATCTGGCTTCCAAGGGTGCTGCTCCTGTCACTGCTGTCAAGTTTTTTGCTCAGGCGCGGCGCGGTGCGTGTAGCTGGCGGCGGCCAGGGAGCAGTACCGCGAGAGCTGAACCGTGCCTTGGTTGCGCAGGGGAACAGCATCGGCTCTCTCGCGAGAAACGGCAAGCTGGAGTCCAGGCCCAACCTGAAATCCTTACGTTAGACCAACGTCGAGCACCCTTCTATTGTATACAATCCTCGGCACTTCGTTCGATCTGTAGATCATCAAGGGATCGGACGGGGAGCAAATGGTCAGGTCTGGCATACGTATCGAAGCGAGAATACAGAGTTCCACGTTTACCTATGTGCTTCTCTCGATTCGTGCAACAACACTAGTACCATGTCAACGTTTCAACATCTAGGTTCATAAAGGACACCGCGGTGCAGAAGCTCATGGCCGTTTGCGACAAGGCGCTGGCGTTCCGGAAGGAGCAGGAGGACGCGCTCGGGCACACCGGCGGCTGCAGCCACGCTCGCGCGAAGAAGCTCGGCGACGTCACGACGCTCAACCTCACCATGCTCAAGGCCGGGGTCGCCATGGCCGGAGGCGGCGACGGCGGCGGGGCGGAGGCGGCGACCAAGCACGAGCGGTACGCTCTGAACGTAATCCCCACGGAGGCTCGGGCCGGGTTCGACGTGAGGATCGACCCCAATACCCCGACGGAGGACTTCAAGGCCCGCCTGGCCGGGTGGTGCAAGGAGGAAGGCGTGACGTGGGAGCTGGCCGACTGGACCACGCCGCTGCACGAGCACTACCTGACCTCGGTGGACCGGGACGTTAACCCGTGGTGGGGGGTGTTCTTGGTGAGTGTGTTGATCCTATGTAGCGCGAAACTTCTTTTGCTGCTGCTGCTGTAGATGGCCGGTGTCGGGGCCAAGTAATTATGCGCTTGTGCAGTGCTTTTGATTGTGTGTGTGAATGAAGTAGACATCGTGTTTTGACAAACCCTTGTGTTTCGTGCATATTTGTCGCCGTGTTGTCATCGCTGGCGGCGAGTGTTCCATTCTTCCCTGATTCTTCCGATGCCACTGACACTTCCTCCTCTCGCGCACGCGGAATGTACGGGCCAATCGTCGCCCCACGCAGGACACCATGAAAGACGTGGGCGTCGAGATAGAACCAGAGATATTCCCGGCGAGCACAGACAGCCGGTACCTGCGAGAGCTGGGCATCCCGGCCCTGGGCTTCTCCCCGATGAGAAATACGCCCATCCTGCTGCACGATCACAACGAGTACATCGCCCAAGACGTCTTCATGGACGGAATAGAGGTGTACGAGCGCCTCATTACCGCGCTAGCGTCTGCGGAACGACTACCCACGGAGGGAAAGCCGTGACATGTTTGTTGGAGACCTGTGTGCCCGCGGTCGTGAATACCCGCGGCCGTTCAGGCGAGTTTCCTGACGGTGTCCACTTCCGGACGGCGCGGTTGGTGTGCATGTTCATGTGACAGCGACACCCAAAGCTAAAAGCATGTACATGCTGCCGACCGTTTCTGCGCAGTTGCTGTTCGTAAAGGGTGGCTAAATGGTGTTGCTTTCCGACGCACCTTGGGGGAAGACGAGGATCACTGGGTCGGAAATTCTGCGCGGGTCTACTAATGCGCGTTTCCATTTTCCCCCAAAACCCCGCCGAGAGAGAGACGGGAGGGAGAGCGGGAGAGAAGAAAAACAAGTACGAAGTACTGACCACGAGTCTAACAGCGACATTTATTGACGGGTTGACAAAGATCCCAATACGAAGGCGGGGTGTGAACATGGTGGTGCTCAGAAAGGCGACTGATGATACTGGAGCACACCAGTCGAACACGCCATCCGGCGGTTGCTCTTGTATTTAGGAAACTCCTCTTGACACGTCGGCTAACCGCAGCACGTGTTGACATGGGCACTGTATTGAAAGACGAGTTTTCGCACCGATCCAGGGTGGGAACAGCACCAGCGAAACAGAAACGAGACACCACGAAATCTTGTTAGCCCCCTCACACAACATTCGTAGCGGTTTGTCCTGCTTGTGCTCGCAGTATGTTCCGCAGCAGTTGTGAAGATTTGGCATTGGTACGCATCGCTTGTTGCTCTTCTTGTGTGTTGCTTCTTGAACGTGTCAAATCCATCCCCGTCCATGGATCACATATGGTGTCTCGGCGATTTAACTTTGTGTCCATCTGCCGCCCGACTGAGCTCCTGCCTCCCCGTCCCCACTCCGCCTTGGAGTTTCAAGTTTCAAGTGTACAGGTACAGAAAAATGTCGCGTCTGCAATGCACGAAGCATCAGACAGGCAACGCCGACGACACTCACTCGCCGTCGAGTTGTGATCACAATCCACTATATTATTCACGTCTCATTTCTCCGCAGAAGTAGCATCAGCATCAGCAGCAGCAGCGGAGAAGACAAAACCCCGATACACTTCCGAGAGCCCTCATCGTGTGCTCAAGAAGTTTCGTTCTTGTTATTACTTCAATCGTGGCGAGACAGCTACAACTAAACTAGCACTTGGTTCTTCCGCCAGAAGACATCGACACCCCCAGCATCGCATGATTGTTTGCGAGACTAACAGGGGGCTTGGCTAGGGTTACGGGTGTTGTCTTCGTCCGCTGTGCTACGCCAGCCCGTATCAACAGCTACCTGGGCTTGCCGTCAAGCAAGGAGGTCCCTCAAGAGTTGCTCACCCATCACGAGGAACCGAATAAAACCATTTCAGCCCGTAAAATAAGCAACGCACATACATGTCGCTCGTCGAATCAAAATTGCAAACGCAGATATACGTGGAGCGGTGGAGCCGGCGACACGGGGCATCATCGCGCACCGGGCTGCTGTACAGTAACGAAACAAAACAAAGAGCTACTCAACGGCTGGCTAATACTTGCGGCACACGGCAGGAACCAAGTTCCTCGTACACAGCCAGTGCCGGAGGAGAAAAAAGAAAAAGAGACAGCAGTATCCCCCCAGCCCAGACGCACACATGAACAAGTCACGGGACATTTAAACCAATCGCTTTGCAACGCCGGCTGCTCTTTGAAACACAACTTTTTTAAAAGTCGACGCCCTCTCCCCCCCCCCCCCCGAGCGCGCATGCATGCTCGGAAAGCGAAACCTTCATCGCTGTGTTAGGAATAATCTAAATACGTGAGACACTACCCAGATGGATCGTTGATTGCCTTTATGTACAAAACGGGGGGGTCTGGGGGCCCCCCCCCCCCCCGGGGGAATTTGACAAGTGGCCCCCACTTAGGGTCCTTTCCCCCCCTTTTTGGGGGCCTTGGGGGGGGGGGCCTTTCCCTATTTTGTGGGGCCAAAAAAAGGGGAAGGGAAAAGGGGGGGGGGAACAATTCCGGGGGGGGCCCCTCCCCCAAAATGAAAAAAACCCCCCCAAGAAAAAAAATGGGATCCCCACCCCCCCTTTTGAGAAAAAAAAAAAAAATAAAAAATCTGGGTCCTTTCGGGCAAATTTTTTGGGGACCCGTGCGCCCCCCGAAGGGGGGGGGGGCATTTTAA